GGGTTTTTTGAGACAGGGTCTCTCGAACTATTTGCCTGGGCTGGGTTTGAACCTCGATCCTGATCCTCCTTATCCCTGCCTCCTGAGTAGCTAGGATTACAGGTGTGAGCCACCAGCACCTGGCTAATCTATTTTGTTTTAAAAAACTCAAGAGGAGGACAGTCCATTGTAGTCTATTTACCCAGTTATTTGCTGCTTCCCTCTCCCTTTTCTCCCGCCCTCCCTCCCTCCCTTCCTTTCTTCTTCACATCTTGCTATGTCACCCAGGCTGGCCTCAAATGCAAAATTCTCCTTTCTCAGCCTCCTAAATGCTGTAATTACAGTTGTGAATGACCACGTCCAGTTTTATCTTCTGATATCCAAGTTTCCCATGGTACCATCTCCCTTCTATCTAAACAGCATCCTTTAGCCTTTCTTTCTTTCCTTCTTTCTTTCTTTTTCTTTCCTTTCTTTCTCTTTCTTTCCTTCCTCCCTCCCTCCCTCTCTCTTTCTTTTCTTTCAAAACAGGGTTCCTCCATGTTGCTCAGGTGGCCTTAAGCTGTCCTCCTCTGAGTAGCTGGGACTACAAGCTTGTACCACCATACTCGGTTTAGCAATACTTTTAGAACAAGTATGCTGGTGATGGATTCTTAATTTCACTTCATCTGAGAATGTCTGATAGTATCTTCATTTTGAAACAAATTTTCACTATATGTACAATTCTGGGTGACCTGGTGCGGTGGCATGCACTTGCAATCCCGCTCCCATTGGGAGGTTGAGGCAGGAGGATCTTGAATTCAAGGTCAGCCTGGCCAACATCATGAGCCCCTGTCTCAAAAAACATTATTGAGCTGACCATGCTGGTATACACCTATAATCCTAGCTACTTGGGAGATGGAAATTGGGAGGACAGAGGTTGGAGACCAGCCCAGGCGAAAAGTTAGCAAGACCCATCTCAGCCAATAAAAAGCTGGGCGTGGTGGTACGTGCCTGTCATCCCATCTACACAGGAAGTATAAATAGGATCACAGCCCAGGCCAGCCTGAACATAAATGCAAGATCCTATTTGAAAAATACTTACAGCTAAAAGGTCTGGCAGCACGATTCAAATACCTAGCAAGTACAAGGTCTTGAGTTCAGACCCTGGCACTGCAAAGCAAACAAACAAACAAACAAAACCCAAAATACTGAGAATTCTAGGCCAGCAGTTGTTTTCTTTCAGCTCTTAAAAACATCGTTCCACTTCTTCCTGGCCTCCATGGTGGAGAAATCTGCAGACATGTGAATTGTTGTTCCACTGGAAGTGTGTGGTCTTCCTCTGGCTGCTTTTGTTTGGTTTTGATGGAATCTGGGGTTGAACTCAGGGCCTCATCTTGCTAGACAGGTGCTCTACCAGTTGAGCCTCATCACAGCCCTTTTTCCCATTAGCTGTTTTTCAGTTAGGGTCTCAAATTTTTGTCCACGGCTGGCTTTAGACCTCAATCTTCCTACCTATGGCCTCCTGTGTAGCTGGGGTCACAGGTATACAAACATACCTGATTTAGATGGGGGTCTCACTAACTTTTTGGTGGGACTAGCCTCAAATTGTGATCCTCTTGCCTCTGCTTCCTGAGTAGCTGGGGTTACAGATGTGAGCCACCATGCCTGGCTTCTCTGGCTGCTTTTTTTTTCTTTTTTGGCAGCACTGGAGTTTGAACTCAGGGCCTCACACTCACTAGGCAGGTGCTCTTACCACTTGAGCCACTCCACCAGTACTTGCATTTTTTTTTTCTTGTGCTCCACTCTGTTTCTTTTCTAACATTTCAAGGAAGTGACTGCTGGACCTTTCCGTATTGTTCTACATGTTCCTGAGGCCCTGCTCATTTCTCTTTTTAAAAATTTTTTATTCATTCATTCATGTTTTGTGGCACTGGGGGGTTGAACTCAGGGTCTCAGATTTGCTAGGCAGGTGCTCCACCTGAGCCATGCTGTGTTTATTTTTGAGATAGGGTCTCCCATTATGTCTGGCCCACCTGGACTGCAATCCTCCTATCTGCACTTCCTCATGTAGCTTGTATGACATGCACACGCCCTATTGATTGAAATGGGGTTTCTGAAACTTTTTGCCTCAAACCTTGATCCTCCTGATCCCAGCCTCCCAAATAACTAGGATTATAGATTTGAGTCATGGGTAGCAGGCTGGTTTTTTTTTTTTTTTCTTTTTAAAGAAAAGTTTACCGGCATAATTAAATACCACATACATTCTCACAGAATTCATTTGCATCCATTTCTAAATTTGTCTTCTGGTTGAGTGTACCTTCTCTCACTCTTGCTCAATGTATTGCTCCCACATTCTTGAAGGTTAATTTTATGAGGTTTGTAAATGTTATATCCAAGTTATTTTCCTTTAGCATGTCTAGCGTTCTATACAGCTGATGGGAACAGTAAGTCTGTCTTGAATTCATTTAATTTTTTTTTCCCTTGGTGGGACTGGGGTTTGAACTCAGAGTTTTGTGATTGCAAAACAGGTGCTGTACTGTTTGAGCCACTCTGTTGGTCTGACTTGAATTCTTTTGTAGGTTATGTCTTTCCTGTTTGGTGATAACTTTTAGGATTCTTCCAAGTCCTGGTATGTCTAGATAGGGATTTTTGAATATTTATCCTGCTCAGTGCTTGGCCACTGGTTTTCCTTTCTTCAGTACTGGGACACCTGTCACGAGCTCTCCAAACATTCCCTTCTCACAACCGTCTCTCTGGTCTTGGGTCTGGAGCTTCCCACAGTCCCATTCTGTGACCAACCCTCTTTTCCTATTTCTCTGTTCCATGTTTTGTTGTTATATACTGGGGATATCTCCCAAGCTTGGTTTTACTTACTTTTGAACCCAGCTGGTGGGATTTTTATCTCAGATTTTCGCTTTTCTCAGACTCCTAATCAGTTCTCTGTGACATCTCCTGGTTCAGTGACGCACACCTAAGATCCATCTGAAGCCAGGATGTCAGCTTTGCCACTTCCTAGCTTGGTCAACTTGGGCAAGTCTCTCTTCATCCTGTCTGCCCAAGGAACCCCTACTGTAAAAGGGCAGTACTTCCTATCGTGTAGGGTAGTACGGGGAAATGGGTTAACAGGAGCTGGGAACTTGGAGCAGTACTTGTCCGGTGGCAAGCACTGTTTGTTGTCTGACTTTATCATTCTTGCTTTTTTAAGAATAGTTATGCTAATAAAGGAAATGCAAATTAAAACCACGCTACGATTCCACCTCACCCCTGTTAGAATAGCCATCACCAACAACAGGTGTTGTCGAGGATGCGGGGAAAAAGGAACCCTCTTAACACTGTTGGTGGGAATGTAGACTAGTACAACCACTCTGGAAAAAAATTTGGAGGCTACTTAAAAAGCTGGACATCGATCTACCATTTGATCCAGCAATACCACTCTTGGGGATATACCCTAAAGACTGTGACACAGGTTACTCCAGAGGCACCTGCACACCCATGTTTATTGCGGCACTATTCACAATAGCCAAGTTATGGAAACAGCCAAGATGCCCCAGCACTGACGAATGGATTAAGAAAATGTGGTATTTATACACAATGGAATTCTATGCAGCCATGAAGAAGAATGAAATGTTATCATTCGCTGGTAAATGGATGGAATTGGAGAACATCATTCTGAGTGAGGTTAGCCTGGCCCATGTTCTCCCTCATATGTGAACATTAGATCAAGGGTAAACACAACAAGGGGATTGGACTTTGAGCACATGATAAAAGCGAGAGCACACAAGGGAGGGGTGAGGATAGGTAAGACACCGAAAAAATTAGCTAGCATTTGTTGCCCTCAACGCAGAGAAACTAAAGCAGATACCTTAAAAGCAACTGAGGCCAATAGGAGAAGGGGACCAGGGACTAGAGAAAAGGTGAGATCAAAAAGAATTAACCTAGAAGGTAACACACACGCACAGGAAATCAATGTGAGTCAATGCCCTGTATAGCTATCCTTATCTCAACCAGCAAAAACCCTTGTTCCTTCCTGTTATTGCTTATATTATCTCTTCAACAAAATTAGAGATAAGGGCAAAATAGTTTCTGCTGGGTATTGAGGGGGGGGTGAGGGAGGGGGCGGAGTGGGTGGTAAAGGAGGGGGTGGGGGCAGGGGGAAGAAATGAACCAAGCCTTGTATGCACATATGAATAATAAAAGAAAAAGGAAAAAAAAAAAAAGAATAGTTATGCTAGTATTCTTCACAAGGCTTCTCATTTCCAGCTGCTCTGCTCTTTGTCGAAGTTCTTACGATCTTCTGCAGGGCATCAGCTGTGTGGTAGGGATTGCAGATGTCTTCCACCCAGCCCAGTGGAGGTAAACACTATCATCTAGTGAGCCCAAGCACAGCCACCTAGGGGACATGCATGAGTGCCACTGGGTCCTCAGCTTCAGGTGTGTGGTGCCAGTGCAGCCATGTGGTCTTGCCAGGCCCTTCTGCTGTCCAGTGACCTTGGCCCTTCGCTACGTTGCCCCTTTCTGGTTATTGTATTATTTTTGACATGGTCTCTGCTTGTAGCCCAAGCTGGCCTCAGATCCTTTATCCTCTTGTCTGTCTCCTGAGTGCTGCTGAGGTTGCAGACGTGTACCACCACTCCCAGCTTCCTGGTTATTTTGGAAACATCTGGTTCTTCTGATCTAAGGACCTTTTGTCTAATATGAACGTGGCTGAGTGCAGGTCTTTTTTCCTACCGTTTATCTGTTTGCTGCCCCCCAATACCAGATCCAAGTAATTAGGCACAAATTATTCTCTACAATATTTCAGCTATGCCCCCGCTGTTTCTAAATGTGTCTTCTTGGAGTTTACCTTTAACAGCTCTTTCCTTGGCCTCTGACATAAACTCAGTCTCTGTCCCCTCTCCATCCACTTGTGTCGGCAGTACTTGGGTTTGAACGCAGGGATATGCCCTTGCTGGGCAGATGTGCTACCACCTGAGCCATGCCCCCAGCTCATCATACCCCTGTACTTGCAAGGCAGTTTCACTGGGTGTTCAAGTGTTCTGCCAGGCATAACCATGTCTGATCCAAGGTTCAGCAGTGTCAGACCCCCAACATGGGGTCTTGAGTTGGCAGACTCTCCCTGAGAGCAAACCCCAGCTGCCCAGCTCTCCCCAGCAGGCTCTTTTCCATTCTGGTACTCGCTGGCCAACCCCGGTGCTGTGGTATCTTGTGGGCCTCAGTGCCCCAGCTTCAGGTGTACTCAGAAGGCAGACACTCAGGACACCAGCTATGTGCAGTACTGCAAAATAAATTTATTTGAAGATAAACTGTCTTATAAAAGGTCAGAGGCAATTTGAGATCCCAGATTCAGCTTGTCTCATAAAAAGATTCAACTTCAAGTAGCACAATTTTGTGTCTGCTTTTAATCTGGAACGTTCTGGATTACGAAACAGCCAATTGTTTACACAACACACTCAACATCTGACTCCAGCACCAGTGGACCCATAGCTTTCAGCTCTGGGGGCTGCAGGCTCGATTCAGGAGGGCCTGCTTTGGGCCACTGTGGCCTTCGGCTGTGACCACAGGCTCAGGTCCCTGCATCCCAACCTTTCACTCCCCTGGCACCTTCCAAAAACACAAGAATATAAACCAAGACTGGCCCACTGCTGAGCAGGGGATGGAACGTCTGTGTGACAATGTGCTGATGACAACACAGTGTACCTTCCTACTGACCCACTGGCAGGCCTGGCCTCACCTGGCTGCCTAGCAGCCAGGAGGAAGAAGGAAGGAGAAAGGAGGTGCACAGGTGTGACTACTCCTGCCCACACTGGCAGGAGCTACGTGATGATTCTTGCAATGGCTTGAAGAGAGGGGAAGTCATCGTCCCGAGCAGCGTGCAGTGCCTGGTGGCTGCTGACATCACCATGTGCGAGCACCTGCTGGCAGGTGGGGCACACACAGCAGTCCAGGCCTGCCTGCTGAGTGCTGGCCTGCCATGCGCTCTTCTTATTCTTCTTAGACTTGGCACCTGGTGGCCTCTCACGGCTGCGGAAATCAGCATGTGCAGACAGCAGTTCCTGCTGCTTGGTTGTGTCTGGCAGCAGCACCAAGAGCTCACTAAAGATCTTCTGGAAGTTCTCCCCGAGCAGGTCCCGGCAGCTCTTGTAATACTGGGCTGCAGAAATCATCCCCTGTTCCCAAAGAACCATAGCCAGTTACTCCCAGCCCAGGCAAGACAGGCTGGCCTCCCAATCCTGGCCATGCCTCACCTGTCTGAACTCCCCTGAGTGGTTCTTGAACTTGCTGAAGCGAGCCTCATCACTCTGCAGAAAGTCCTTGATGGACTGGATGAGCTGTAGGTTCCTCTCTCGGAAATTCTCGGGGACCAAGTAGGTCCGTGGTGTGGGTGTCAGCCTAGGTCTGGGGTCAGGAGATGATGAGGAGGCTTCAGTCTTTGGGGTGACCTAAACAGGGCATCCCTCTGCCAGGCCCCAGTAGCAGGTGGCCAGGCAGCCCACTCCACTTACGCTTTCATGGTGGTGATAGGGCTGGGGACACAGGCTGGGTGGGGGCCAGGCAGGAGGCTGGAGAAGCCAGGGGGTGGCTTGCTGGGTGGAGGCACCAAGCCTGGTGGGGGTGGGGGCGGTGTGCCCTTCAGGAGCACTGCAGTGTTGAAGCCTACAGGGTGGTACAAGATCCAAAGGTGGACCTTCCTGCTGCCTCAGTTTCTCTCAGGCTACTCAGCCCACTAGGTCAGCCTTTGTCCACGGCCACCCTCCCCCCACCAGCAGGCCCAGAGCCAGCACCCCAACCTGGCAGGCTTACCATGCAGCACTACGGCTCATGTGCCTCAACCCTACAAGACACTATGAGGCCCATGTCATGGAGAGGTTAAGTGGGGGCTCAAGGTTCCATGGGTCAGGGATAATGTCACCTGTGCCTAGACTGGGCCAAGGCTGCTGAGGAAGCTGGGCAGCAGGAGACAGGCTTCCTGCACCTCTGACAGCTGGGACCCTGCCCTACACCCCACACCCCAGGCTGTGCTGCTGCCCCTGGGATCCAGCCTGACCCTACTACCCCAGCCCTTCTCGGACATCCAAGGAACTAGGCAACACTGGGCACTCATACCTGGGGGAGGAGGCATCCTGGGTGGGCAGGGGCCTCCAAGCGCAGGAAAGTCTTCCTGGGGTGTAGGGCAGGGGAGGGGCCCCAGGGGCTTTGGGAGCCCAGGAGGTTCCTTGGGGGTGCTCCGTGCCAGAGCCTCTGTGTGTCCATTGACGATGACAGCTACTGGCCCTTCAGCTTTGCTCAAAGGGACTTCAGGGACCTGCTCAGCCCCAGGGGACTTTGGGGTATGGCTGGAGGGCAGCAGTGGGGGAGAAGTGGCCCCAGACTTCTCAGAGCCCACCTTCTTCTTCTTGCTGACCTTGCTGGAGCTCTGGGTAGAAGCTGACCCCAACAGGGAGGAGACAGCCACTGTGGTGGGCACACTCCGTAGCTCCTGCACAGTGAGGCCACTGCCTTCCTCCTCATCTGCAGGGGGCGGGCCGCCCTTCCGCCCGCCCCTGCTCCCCTTTCCTGCCTTCCTGGGGGGCTGGCTGCTCCCACCTGCAGCTAGGGCTCCTGTAGTAGGTGGAGCCCCCTTCTTGCTACAGTTGCTGTTCCAGGCAGAGATGAGGCTGGGAGGCACAGTACTAGGCTTGGATGATGAAGACACCAGGGCTGGGAAGTCCTCCTCCTGGAAGGTGTTCCTGCCCCTGGTGGGACCGGGATACGCCAGTGCCAACCCAACAGAGCCTGGGGTGGCTGCTGCTGAGCAGGAGGAAGGAGAGGCACAGAGACTGGGGAAATCTTCATCCTTGAGCTTCGGCCTAGGTTGTAGGAGAATGCTGAGTCCATGGAGGAGAGAGCTGGTCAGTGGCTCACTAGGTTTAGGGATCCAAACCCACCTACCATAGATGCCATCCCCTCACCCCAGTTCACACACACATACAAACCTCGGAGGGGCAGCTGCTGTGCCTGGGCAGGCTTCTTGGCTTATGGGCCCATTTGTCAAGGCTTCCTTGGGACCTACAAGACATGAAAGGAGCCTGGTCGTACACTGAGGATGCACTTGGGGGTTCAGGGTGAGGTAGAAGGAGGGCACTGAGAGTCCTGGGCACTGTGTTGGGCAGAAGCTGCACGCTCCCTTCCCAGGTTAGGCAGTGCTACTAGCAGGTGGGCCTGACTCACCTTGGCCTTCTCCCTGAGTCCGGGGCAGCCGCCGGGGGCCACGGGCTTCCTCAGGCCCCCGGGCTGCTGCATCCTCTTTCTTGGGCCTGCCACCCTCCTCCCGGTCCTCACTCCTGCGAGTCTCTTCCTGCTGCTGTGCAGCCACAGAGGCCCGGATGGCAGCTGCCACTTCTCGGTCCTCTTCTTCCCTGGGATGGAGAGGGTGGCTTCAGGCTGGGTAAGGCAGGCAGAGCCTGGGTGCATGCCTGCTTTGAGGGCCTTGCCTAGTACAACTGCACAGATCTGAGTGATACAGGTCCTCTTACCACCCCACCACCCCCAGGTCCTGGCCTCTGGCTAACACTAGAGGAAAGAGCAAGAAAATTCTGCCCATTGAGGACAGACTCTGTTGCCACCCTCAGGACCCTAGGAACTCTGACCAGAGCCCCCTGACCCAATGTCTACTCCTGGCTCAGCTGTTGGCCACTGCCACCACCTAGGGGTGGTGCCAGGAGAACGTCAGCAGCAAGCAAGTCCTCCCACCTCTTGTACCTCCAGCTTCCTCGGCGGCTCTGCTGGGCTCCACGCCCGCTGGCCCGGCCCGCTCGGCCTTGGCGGTTGTACCTATCCACTTCCTCGTAGTCTTCACCACTGACAACCCCTGCAGTCAGCACACAGCCTGTCACTGTACCAGGCCCTGGCAGGGCAGCAAGACTGACAGGCCTGCTGTCCAGGCCACATTAAGACCAGCACTACCACCTGCATGGTAAAGGCTTCCCCACCCCCACAGCCCCATGAAAGGCCTAGGCACTTTGCAGAATTCACAGCAGCTGTGACCTCTACAATCTTGATCCAAGTCAGGGCAAGCAGCTCAATGACAAGGGACTAGGCCCCACAGACTGGGGGTGGAACAGACACAGAGATGGCCCTCAATGACAGCCTCCTGATGCAGGAAAGAGCTCCAGGAACCCCAGTATCACAGGTGCAAGATCTCACAGGAGGTGGGCAGCAAAATGCTCCTTGTCACAACCGTGCTCAAGTGCTCAGGGCTTGTGGGATAGGTGAAAAGACAAGAGGCTCAGTGGGTACCTTCCTCATCCCTAGCGAATGCAGGGATTTGGATCTGGACTTGGGTCTGAGGTCTCTAGAGCAGGCGCTGGCTGCCATGGACTCTGGAGACTGCCTGGGGACCAGGCTCACCCTCACTCCGGCGTGAGTGCCTTGGTGCGAAACTGAACTGAAGGTCGATCTGGCGGTTCTGGCGTGCCTCTGCACGGCTGCGGCTGTGGCAGGCTGTCTTGTGCGCCTTTAGGTCGATCTCAGTGCGGAAGGCATGTGTGAACTGTTCTGTGCTGCAGCGGCCCTCCTCACACAGGAAGTGCTTCTCCCGGAAGTGCTCACGCAGGTATGCGTAGTCGCTGGGGGAGTCGGGGTGTCAGCAGGGGCCCAGACTGCCTGCCCCACTCCCAGATGGTCCTGGGGACCCCTGCAGCAGCCCCGGCCCTCCCACCTGTAGTAGTCCTGGGCCCCATCTGAGTCACAGAAGTGGCAGAAGTAGTGGTCGCGGCGCAGGTGCTTCAGCAGCTCATCGTTGTCCAGGTAGCGCTCGTCACAAAACTTGCATAGTGGGTGTCCCCGATGTGACGTGTCATCAGGGTCGCCCTGCATGCGGTGCCGAGCCAGGTCCTTGCGAGAGTACCACTTGCGCTCATAAGTGAAGATCTGCAGAGAACATGGGGCTGGACACAGGGTGGGGACTCCGGGTCTCCTGCCTCCTCCCACCAGCCCACAAGGAGAGGGCCCTGATGGTGTCAGTTCCACTCCAGAGCCCACCAAAGCCTGGCAAACCCAGCCACTAGGAGTCCCTCCCAGCCCAAGCACAAGTAGCCTAATTCTCTGGGGGGAGCCTAGCAGTCTCTGATAGGCCAGAGGCACGAATGGCTAAGCCCAAGTGGCTGCCTGATCTAACCCGGGGGTCCCCAGGGCAGGCGCACCTTGAGGTGCTTGAGGCACAGTTTGCAGCAGAAGAGCTCATGCTGCTTTCGCATGTGCTGCTCCAGGTCCCCGAAGAGGCCGAAGGGTGGCAGCTGAGGGCACCGTGGGCACTCGTGCTGCAGCAGCTGCCTGGGGAGACACCATAGCCACCAACCATGCTATGCATTCAACGTCACCTCCCAGAGCAGGGCCATGCACCAGGCCCTGGTGTGGGAAACTGATCCCATGTTAGGGAGAAAATGACTGGGCACATAGGGCCTGGGGTCCAAGGCTGTGGGTTCCAGCTCTGGGCCAGTAGAACTAGGAGCTCTATAGAAGAGGAGTCTGAGGTCCGAAAAGAAAGGCAGTCAGCCCACATCACACAGCCAACCCAAGGAGGACCTGATCCTGATGTCCATTGTGCCACACTGTCCCCACCCACCAATACTAGGAAGTGAAAAGGACACACCCATCCCCACTACAGAGGGCCACACAGACACAGGCAGCTGCAGACACTGCTGCAGGTTGAGGTTCCCTCACCTGTACAAGGCAAACACCTTTCCATCTGCAAAGTAGATGTCGTACTTCTTCTCATGCTGCAGCTGATGGATTTGAATTGTAGCAAAAGCAGGGAGCTTCTTTCCGAAGACCACCTGGTGAGACACAGTGGTGAGCAGGGCCTGGATGAGATGGCCAAGGATGCAGCACAGACAGGGAAGAGGAGGAGCTCAAGGTCCCAACAAGTGTCGGCAGCCATAGCTCCCCAGTGGATCTGGGCCTCCTCGCCTCACCACAAGCTACCAGTAAGAGATGATGGCACGGATGTGATGCCCAGATTCTCCACCAGTGGGCAGCCATGCTTCCAGCACAGCCTTAGGAGGTGTAGGAACAGGGATCAAAGGGGAGGTAAGGCTGAGTACAGAACAGCTTGCATGAGGAGGAGGAGAGGGATATGTTCCAGGAAGCAGCTAAGGAAACAGTGAATGCTACCAGCTTAGCATGCATCAGGTGACCTTGCTTTAAGGCCTGACTGCAGCCCCCCCATTTCCATTATGCCAATGGAGAAGGGCTCTCGAAGGACTGGCATCCTGAGCTGACCACTCCAGCCATAGCCATGTAGCTCCTCCTGTTATTGTGGGCTGTGTGGGCCCAGGAATGAGTCATGCACACACAGCAAAGCCCATGTTTCTGGGGTCTCCGGAATCTGCTGGAGTCTGGTTGCCAGAAGAACCTGTTCCTGTCTCTTCCTGTAAGGTCTGGGGTCAAGGCTGTTGGCCTACTCTGCCCTTTTGCACACTTGGGGCACTAGATTATGGTCAGATGACAAAACCCTTGTCCCCATGCTCCTGGTGTGGCCCAGGGCCCTTACAGTCTCAGGCCTCCCCCTGCTCCCTTGAGGGTTCCCTCTTTTATGAAGACCTTCCGGTGAGGACCTTTAGTACTCCAAGTCCCACAGTGACCCTCACCATCAGGCCTCTCCCTGGCTCAAGACACAGCTGTCTTCTCCCTGCCACTGCCCCCCCAAGACTGGCACTGGTCTTGCACTTCAGCTCAGCCCTGAGAGTGGCTCTGAAGCCTTACCAGCACATCCAGGGGGATGTCCTTGCCATGGGAAGGGATATGTCAATGTCATGTGTTATGTTTAGGCTCGGCCAAGGGAGGATTTTGGGACCCGAATGAACATGAACTTGGGGCAGCTCAGATCTGCCAGGGAGAGTGACCACCATACATGCTACGTACCGCCCCCAGCAGCAGGATGACTAAAGCTGGCTCCCTGGAGGGTCTGGGAGAGAGGACCTACACCTGCTCTTCCACCAGCCTGGCCAGCCGCTTGTGGAAAGCACTGTGGTCCAGCAGGCCTTTCCTCCTGTCACATCTGGCAAGGCTAGGCACAACAAATTTGGTTGTCCCACTCTGTCCTGTGCCAGATGAAAACCCCAGGCAGCAGGTGCCTCATCTCCAGCTGCACGCCCAAGACCATCTTCTAAATAGGAGTCACGGTTCTGCCCCAAAGGCCCAATTCACCAAGACTGCAGACTCTACAGCAGGGTTTCCTCATCATGGACCCCTCTGCCCCTCCACAGTTCCCCCCAGTTTTCTCGTTCCCTGGCAGTCCTCCCCAGGCCCTTCATGTGGGCAAAATCCCCAGATCTTGTGCTGGTCTCTTCTGTGATCTGCCTCCCTGGGCAAGCTCTCGACCAGCTCTGCCTTCCAACAATTTCCAAGGATGCCTCTCCAGCCTAGAGCCCAGTAAGCAGCCAAACACAGCTATGGGCCACTCAGGGTGTGCTAGGACACAGAGCATAAGATCCCCCATGAAGGAACTACAGGACCTTGTAGGCACCAAGGAGGGGCCACATCCACACTTGGCTTCTCTGAGGCAGCACAGGCAGCAGATCTAGGAACCTAGCTCCCTTTCAAGGCGGCCAGGAGAGCAGCTGGAGGAAACTCCCCATGGCTGCCAAAAAGCATCCAAGCCCAACAGACACAGTGGAGGAACGACTTCCTTCCCCAGAGGAAGCCGTGCCAGGGACGCCCCCATCACTGCCACCACTCCAGCACCCTCTTCTCAGCTGTGCATTCAGATCCACTCTGGGTGGCACTTTGGGTTGCCATGGAGGAGGCCCATCTGTTCTGGGACTGTGGGCATGGGTCCCTAAGCACCCATCTCCACTGTGGTCTCCCCAGGAGCCACCTCTGTGTAGGTAGTGGTAGGCCACTGCTGAAGAGAGTGACTCCTTTGTCCTTGCCACCACCCCGCACTGTGGCATCCATGCCCAAGCATGACAGCCTACTGTACACCCACAGGACATCTCTGTGGATACCATGAGGCCAGGAGCAGAGCTTGGAACAAGGCAGGATCAGGAGCCAGCAGTGCCCCTCATGAAGGGTCTGGGACAGGCTGACAAGAGGACTGAGGTACATGTGCAGGGAAACCAGGCCTGCTTGACCTCGTGCTACTGAGGCCACAGAACTAAAGAAGTGCAAGTAGCAGGTGCATGGCGGGGTGGTCTCAAGGGGCCACTGAGTTCAGTCTGGATGGAAGGTCCATCTGCAAAGCAGTTGGGGACAGGCACCCAAAGCACAGGAGACCCAGGGGTGTTCATTCTTTCTGAGCAGTCTGGTGAGGGTGACCCAAACTGGGCATCCCTGAGACGGGGAAGAGGGCATGAGGTTGGCTCATGAAGGGACAGGAAGAACAAAAAAAGGCTTAGGAAAGGGGTCATGGGCAATGCAGGTCGAAGGCTAAGTCTGCTGGAGCTGCAAGGCAGGGAGCAGGGAAATGCTAATTGTGGCTGGAGCCAAGGCTTTGGGAAACAGACAGGAAGACCTGTCCCAGGAGACCAGGACTGGCTGTCTGGACTTGATGAACGATGATGGCACAGCAGTCAGCTTGGTATGCCCAGTGTCCCTGTCCCCAGAAGAGGGTGAGGTAAGTAGCTGGACAAGGAAAAGCACAAGGGCATGGTAGCCAGGCCCATGACATAGGAACATGGAGGTTAATGGGAGATGGCCAGCTTGGGGCTGCAAAGAGAAGGAAATAAGGAGATAGGGGGTGGCAGCTCTAGATCACCCCCGGGCAAGGGTCATAGGTCCATGGACAGAGCTGAAGCCAGGCAGGGACATGAGACTGTGCTATTATGAACAACCCTGGGGTGATCTAGGCAGCAAATGATCAATGGGGAAAGGCACTCCTAAGTGAGCCACGGTAATAGGCAGGTCAGTCCCCAAGGAAAATAAGAGACAGAGGGGTAAGAGGCTACTCAGGAACAAGTGGTCCCCACAAGGCTCCCAGGAACAAGTGTAGGTGTCTGCCTGGGGGCCTTACTGCTCCCCACTCTCAGCATGCAATGGGTGTTCAGTAAAGAATGAAGAGGCCAGGCATAGGGAGTGTACACCTATAATTCCAGTATTTTGGAGGCTGAAATAGGACTTCAAATTTAAGGTCAGCCTGGGCTACATAACAAGACCCTTTCACAACACCCTCCCCCCCCAAAAAAAGAAGAGGACAAAAGAGTAGGTGGGACAACAAGCACCAGTAAGAAAGAAATGGTGAAGCCAGACCTAGAAGCAGGAGGCCTCAGGGATGGGAAGTGAGTACAATGTGGGCAACTGGGGGTCACTCCTGGAGAGTCCAGAATCCCAAGGAGACCAGGTGAGGAAAGGAGCAGGGATAACTTTACAGAAAGGCCAGGATGTCAGGAAGGAGCAATAACAACATAAGAATACCACCTGAGTCATCAGGTCCCGCCCTCCGACCTAGGCCTTGGGGTAACCCTGGGCTGGCCTTCAGCACTCTCCTCCCACTTCCTGCCTGTAAGAATGGGGTGTGGCTGCACTGGGTGGCCTGCAGCCCCATCAGGACTCCTATGACAAAAGCAGGGACAGGACAAGGTGAAAAGCAAGACACAAACTGCTTAAAGTGGCTGATGAAAAAGATGCATCCAGAGGAAGACAAGAAACCCCAAGGGGTGGGGGACATCACCCCAGGGCCGTGAAAACCATGTTCACTGAAGTGCTTCACTAAGAGCAGTGCCTCCACTGCCTCCCACCAGTGGGAGCTGAGGATGGGAGCCTTCCTCAGCTTCCATGTTGAGCGCCTTCCACGAAGTCCAGGTTGCCCTGGCTCTTCGCCTGACCAACAGCAGCAGGGTTGTGCTGCATCTGCTTCCTGGCGTTCCCAGCCCCCACCCTGGGGCCTACAAGGGGAAGGTCAAGGCGTACAGAATTATCCAGCAAAGGAAGCCTGCCTGTGCCACACAGCATCTTAGCACACTTTCCCCCACATTTTCACATAGCTATTCTCATTAAGAGAGAGAAAAGCAGGAGCAGGGTTGGAGGATTGAGGTCACCTGGGATTCCTGAGCGAGCATGGACACAAAAAACATCAGAGGGACACATGACATATCAGAGGATACTGCGGGACTTAACAAGGGACTAGGAAGGGCTAGGTGAAGCTACAAGTTCACAAATGGGAGGGGAAACAGGATGGACGGAGAAGAGAAGACCAAGCTGAGCTGGGAAGGGTCATCTCACCAAACAGCAAAATTCTCACAACCTCCATCCTGCCCAGCAATGCAGAGCAGGCCCAAGAGGAAGCCCAGGCATGGTGAGGAGTGCCCAATGCCAAACCACACCCCAGCCAGGGCCAGCTGACAGCTCACGTCAACAGTCCCTGCCACAGATCTGGAGGGCGTGAACCCTTTGGAATGAGAGATGGCAGACATTGGCTAGAGTAGCCATACATGGGTGTTCACTCACTTTCTGAGACCCAAAGCCAGGCCTCCACAGCACCTTCCTTCCTGGAAGGAAGCTACAGGTGTGTGAAGAAGCTTGGCTGTTTGAGAGTTCCATCTCCAAGACAGGATCCAGCAAGGCCAGGAGTGCACTCTGAGTAAACCACAGGTCAAAGGCTTCTCTGACTGTTCCTGCACCTCTGATGGCTCCCAGTCTGGGTCTGCCTCCTTTCACTACCTTACAGACTATCAGCATCTCCAGAGGCTTTTCCCAATAGGGCACAGAATAGATGCCCAGAAATGCTCATTAATTCCACCATCTCTTTGGTTCCTTTCACGTTAAGGAAAAAAAAAAAAAAAAAAGCCAGGAACTAGTGGCTCAGGCCTGCCATCCTAGCTACTCAGGAGTCAGAGAAGAGGACTGTAGCTTGACTTTTTTTTTTTTTTTGGCAGCATTGGGGTTTGAATCCAGGGCTTCATACTTGCTACCTTTGAAGACAACCTCAGGCAAAGATTTCAGGAGACCTTATCTCAAATAAACCCATCACAAAAAAGGGCTGGCAGAGTGGCACAAGGGATAAGAATGCCTGCCTAGCGAGCATGAGGCCCTGAGTTCAAACCCCAGGGATCAAAAAAAAAAAAAAGACTCAATCAGTAGAGCGCCTGCTTTGCAAGCTTTTTGAGTTCAAACCCCAGCCCCATCAAAAAAGAAAAGAGAGGGCCGGTGGAGTAGCTCAAGTGGTAGAGTGCCTGCCTAGCAAGCACGAGGCCCTGAGTTCAAACCCCAGTGCTGCCAAAAAAGAAGGAAAAGAGAAAGGAAGGAAAAAAAGAGATAGAGAGAGAGGAAAGAAGGAGGGATGGATTGATTCCTCAACACTGCTGTCTCTGCCTTATCTCTAAGGAGAGGAAAATCAGATTCCCTGGCAGATGCCACCAACCAAAGCTTTCCATGAACAAACCAGAATTTCACAATGCTAGAAGCAAACAGATGGGAAGTCCAGCAGGATGTGCTCCGCAACAGCTGGCATTGCTGCGAGAGTGGGGGAAAGCTTCATGTGCCCTCTGATCCCTCCAGGGCTTCCAAGTCTAGACAGAGTCAGAAACATCCCCTTTCCGATCCGGAAGTCAGCTCCAAAGCTGGAACTAGCACGAGGAAGAAAACGTCCCAACATTTTGATCCCCACCCCAGTCAGGCATCTGGAAGAGTCAGTCCCAGCATCAATTCCACTCTACAAACGAAAACGACCATCTCAGGGCCCCCAGTGGGGCCCAGAAGCCCAGCTGGACTGGACATGCTCACAGTTTAACTCTTTCAGGGCACACTGCCTCTAGAGGTTTCGCGTGCCTGTCTCCCTTCTTCCCAGTGGACACCCCAGAGGAATGAATACCCACAGATGGGCAAGTCAGGGCGCTCTTGACCTGATTCTGCCCTTCTCTGCGGCCAGGGCACACGGGAAAGTCCCCAGGCTCCATCCCCACGGATATCGCTCCTCCTCCCCCAGATCAGCCGCTTCCAGCCGCCAGGCGCCAGGCGGCCCAGTGGTCGGACCCCGCCCCGACGGCCCCCAGGATTCTGACGGGAGCCGGCGCCGCCAGGCCGGGGCCGGACAGCGGGAAGTCAAAGCCACTCCCTCCCACCGAGCCCCGCGCCCCGCCGAGCGGCCCGCCGGCGCACCTGGCGCAGCTCCTCGCGGCACACAGCGCAGTAGCGCTGCTCGCACAGCACCCGCATCTTGGTAGAGCAGCGGTAGCACACAGGGTGGTCGCAGCGGCCCAGAGCCGTGGCCTCCAGGTCGCCGCAGCACAGCACACAGCTCCCGCCGCCTCGCTCGGGCGCTGCAGCCGCCGCCGCCTCCAGGGCCGCGCGCCGCCCCTCGGCGCCCGCCGACGCCGCCATGGCCCGGCTCCGGCCCCCTCCCGGCCGGCGCGGCGCGGCGCGGCGCGGCCTGGGCTCCGGGGGCCCCGCCCCTTCCGGTGACGTCACCGCCTCCCTCCCGGCAACCGCTCCCCCCGGCGGAAGTGCACGCCGCGACTTCCGCCCTGATCTGACGCTGGCTGGAGTGGTGTCTGGCACCAGGCACTCTAGCTTGCGTCGGTGCGCAGGAGGACCTCGGCCCTCCCGGCCAGAGCGCAGCTGCTCCGTGCTATCCCTACTGGGGGCCCTAAGGCTAGGGACGCCGAAGGAAGCACAGGGCTCCCGGTGTTTCACATAAACCATGAATAGTGGTAAGTGTAAGTTTAGTGTAAGTTTTGCCCAAATACTGATGGGCTATACTCCTAGTATATACTTTTCTTTTTTTGCAGTACTGGCGTTTGAACTAAGGGCCTCACGCTTGCTAGGCAGTCACTCCGCGGGGTGTTATTCTTTATTCCAAATCCAAATATAACTGGATGTCCTGTATTTTTATTTACTAAATCAGGCAACCTGAGCTGGGAGTGCAGCACAGTGATAAACCGCTTGTCCAGCATGGGTAAAGCCTTGGGTTCCATCCCCAACATCACAAAACACATATAAGTAAGTAAATAAATTTAGCAACTTTGTCATGTACTCACCACCTGCGACAAGAACAGCCTCACCTAGTCATGCTGGAGAAGGGACCCCATGTTCTGTTAGGAGTGGGGCATATAAAGCTGGGCATGTTTCCAGGGTGGTGAGTCCTGGGGCTTCAGGTTTCTGCAGTGGGGGGGCTCCCCCCCACTTTTCCATGAAGGGAAGCTGGTGCTGATCAGAAGCCTTCTAGAAAAGAGGTGCAGTGAGCCTGGACTTAGAATGAGACAGAAATGAGCTTGGAACTCCAGTTCTGCTACATACTAGCTAGTAATCTTGGTTAGGTCACTGAAGCTGGTAACTTCCTCATTTGCAAAACTTGGGGTGACCGTACCCATGAAACAAAATGGCATGGCACGGACTGCATGCAGATGTT